GGGGGGCACTGACTCGACCCCCCCCCCCGTCGACAACTTTTTAGGTAAAAAAATTTTCCGGACGAGTACGTTGCAATTGCTTTCCAGGTACTTTATCTCAATTTTTTATGCCAAATCTCGGTACTTAGCCCCCCCCCAAAAAAAAAATAACAACATTAACAGCTATTAGTTCTGCAAAACGTCTGCAGGGGCTAAGCCCCGGTGTAAGATTTCTGGAGTGGCTCGAACCCCCAAAGCACCCCCCCTCATACTCTACGCCTATGAGGTTATTTTAGGCCACAAGCAATCTATTTTCATACAAAAATTGAGTTATGACTATGAGCCTCAAGTATTAATCTTCTACGGTCACTGTAGTACTGTATATCATGGCAAAAAATGTGGAATAAGGGGGGATAATTTCAATTTTATTTCCGAGTGGGGGGACTGCCCCCCCCCCAGCCCCCCCCCCTCAGCTACGGGCCTGAGTGTTTACCTCTTCTCGCTGTTCACCCTGCAGGATTGTGCTGTTTGTGCTCAACTTTTCGCGGCATTGTCGACAGATTCCTAGAAGAGCAACGTGTAAATATATGAAAAGTGGAAACAACATTGTAGGTGATATAAAGGTTAACGGTATAAGTCAAATTTCGTCCTTGATAATTCTTCGGATCATGCTTAACCTCAATAATTGCTAATTATGCATGAACTAGTATTGTTGTGGGTTATGGCGCGACATGTCTTCGGGAAGCGAATACTATTCTTTGGACTTGATTGACATGTTTACGATGTTTATGATTGACATGTTTTCACCAAGTCAAAGAAAACGAAAAGATATACGTATACCTGAACCGATAGGTATTACCAATCCAGTTAGGTGGAATATTTTCTCCGACATTTCCTTATTTACTGATCGGTCACCAGTATGCTTTTTAAAGCGGTGGGATGCAACAGGCGCTGGAACTTGACAATTCTTTTTCCGCCCTCGCCATTCAATACCAAAGGATTGTCGATGTTTTGGACATACCATAAAATTCGCGGCAGCGAATCCCTCAAATATGCCTAAATAAATTGCACATGATTTAATAAAAGAAGTCAGAGTGTTATATATAAAGAAACTTTACTAATTCACCTGCCCTCAGCAATATTAACTCTTTCTCTGAAGATATTTCCTCTCTACGGAGGTTCAACATTTTTAAATGGCCAGTTACATCGCGTTGGCACGCATTTAGCGATTGAAACTCGCTTACTTCACAGCCTTTTAAGGAAATCGAACCGCACTCAGTCCCGGTCAACGTCCCTATTCCACACTTGTCCATTTGGAAAATTTTTGCCGGTTTAATTTAGCAAAAATGTTTAATAACAAGCGTTGCAATGCAAGATTGTGTACTTGTTGTGCGATCTATTTTTATGAATGATTTCCCGGTGGGTTTTCCCTGAGCGAAAATTGAATTGTGCGAAATTCAGGCCAGGATAATTTAAATGACACAAATCGAATTAATACTTTTACATATGACTTAGTTATTGTACAGTAATACTTCGATCGGGATGTCACTCCCATGTTCCACCTCCGCAGGTTAAAACATAGATATGATTTCTCGACAAATACTAATTCTTAGACATTCAATTATAAGAAAAATAACCATGATGAAACAGTGCCCTAATTGCTTCATTGCAAGCTATATTTCTCGCATGTTATATTTTCTCCGCAGGGCGCGATATGATCTGTGTACACTACAATTTCATCGGTCCGGTTGACCTTCCCACGAACAATTGTAAGAAACAAAATAACTACGTTGCTTCAAATAAAAATTTAATAGAGCACGGTTTCTAGCAAAAAAACTCGCTGAGAAAAATTACTAACTAAAGGTGGGTGTATAAATTCCTCGAGGCACTAATAACTGAAATTGGAAGCTTTAAAGTGCAAATAAAGTCATCTTTAAAATTTGTCAAGAAAAACGAACCCAAAAACTTGCTTTCCTCCAACGGGAAGTACGCAGTACGTGTTTGCTAAAACACGGACTGAGTCATGCAGGGCAGGTATATGTGTGATATTGTTTTAATTAAAGCTAGGGCGTTATGATTGACATGATTTTTTCAAAAACATATCACTTCTAAAATTAAGAAGACAATTATGTATTATTAACTTTTTTGTTATCACTGATTTGTTTGAAATTTTAAGACTCGTCACCAGATCTCTCACGCAAGTAGTTGAGATAGCTCTCAAGAAAAAGGCGCATTTTAGGGATTCTTCAGGCGTTTTCTTCCAAAAGTAAAAATTGTTGCCCGCGGAGATTTTTATGCTAAAATCTACACTAATCTTAGTACTTTTAAGGAACCTAAACAAATAGCACAAAATCATTTTACTACTCGAGAAATGAACCGTGAAATGAAGCATACTTGCGGATCTTGCAAATATGAGAGAAAATGAGTCACATTTCAACGCAATTTCTTTCAAGAATATATCGCCAAAGCTCTCTGCTGCGGGGTAAATTGTGGCATCGCCATTTCAAAGTGTACGGGGTATTATACGAGAGAATACGTTTCGGCACAAACAACTCGAAAGCACAAATTCCATGGAAATTCCACGGAACTCTCATGGGAGTAAAAATGAATTCATAATGAAGCAAGAACAGCACCAACAGAGAAAAATGTAACGTTTTCATGGGCTTTTTGGAGGATTTGCACTCGGTAAAATTCTGCCGAAATTTTATCATAAATGCAACAAATAGTGAACTTTTCATACGTGAACTCAAATAAAGAATACCGTTTGTCATTTCCGTGCGCAAGCCACTTTTAGGGGAGCAAAAGTTGACCACCCCCCTGGATAGCAAAATTTACTATTTTCAATTTTTTTTATATTTTCCATAATTTAAGAACTCAAGCAATCCATACATATAAAAAATTACATTTCATGAACAGAATTGTGGAATTGAGAGCAATTTCAAAATTGTCTTACTTTTTTTGATACACCCTGTATGTAAAGGTTGATTGGTGCATATATTTGATGGATTGTACTTGTATTATAAATATTCTGAAGTGCCAGTGTACTTGTATGGGATATATATCGTAAAATTTTTGTAATCGCACGGTGCATTCTGGCAAATCGTACTTACAGAACATCTCTTAAAAATAACTTTTTAAATTCTGAAAAATATTTCAGTGGAAGATGTATAATTTTCTTTTTGAAAGGATTTGCAAGAAATTTTCACCGGTCAAAAATTAATTTAAGTCAGATTATTCCTATTTAAACTTAACTTCCCTCCTTTGAGATCTAGTAAAGTTCACCAGGTAGAGATACAGTATTAAAACGCCACTATTTATTGGGTCACCATTACTATACAGAAGCAAATCTAAACCAGAGTAAACTAAGTTTATATGATTATTTTTCATCCGAATCGATATCATCTCAACTACGAACGCTGGGCGCCAGTGCATGTATGTAGCAAGAAAATTATGACATCGCTAAATCCAAAATAATAATTCCACGTTTAATAATAATGCTGCTGAGCATTTTAGTCAAAGACCTACAAGTATGCCACTGTCTCTACGATGGAATATCTAAATATTCTTGGTCAGGGAACATATGAAACTTTAGGCGGTAAAATATGGGTAAAAAATTTCAATTATATCAACAGTAGTAAGTGTGACGCCAATTCATGCTTGGTTACGAATGTAAAAAAAACTAAAACAAAGACGAACATTAACTCGAACACTTTGCCGTGCCACACATACCTAATTTTAGTGTGCAGTGATGACCAAATTTTGCAGTGATAAAAGTAAAATGTGCAGTGATAAAATTTGCTTTGATAAGTTGTTAATTAACACAAGACAATGAGCAGAAGAACTGAACTAATCCGGCGAAACATTTTGAATGAGAATGATTTAATTGAAATTAAAATTGAAATGATGACTGCCAAATTATCGAACGTCCGCACTAATAAGATACTTATCTGAATGCAGTCATGGAGCGTGCTCAAGAAACCTGGGTCCGATTCAACCCAGACAAGTGCCAGATTACAAGTACAGAATTATCATTCTGTGGTCACATCATTAGTGCTAGTGGTCTCAAGCCGGGCTCCCAAAAAATTGAAGTCATCAGAAATCTACAAGTCTCACAGACCTGCAGACCTTCCTTGGAAGATGTTAGACCAATCTTCCACTGCAGTGACGAGTTCTGGTGTTACGTATTCCTTTTTGCACGACCTTGGAAATTGTTGAGTCATTAACGAATATCCACGTGCTTATGTCGGAAATTCGGAAATCATTGTCATAAATACAATTTGCCATAGCCGTCCAAGTTTTGTGCCTTCAGAGATTCCCGAAGGAACTTCTCCCCATTCAGAGTAACAACTAATCGTTAGAATATATAGATAACTCGGCGGTTCGCTGTTTACGATCTTCGGTTCAGTGCATGCTATGTAGATGAAAATAGCACCATTCGATTCAGTGAAAAAAATCCTATCGATAGATATAGTAAAATGTCAACATTATAGCGATTTACGACAAGCGATATCATATTTCATTACAATATTCCCGCTGACTAATACTAGGGAAATCGCGATGATTTCCGACGATGACCGGTTTCGTTACGAGTGTTACGTCAAACCGCTAGCAAAGTTTTTGATTTTACAGCTCTATTATTGTAGCTTTTACACCAGTTTTGAAATATGTTAAACTGATTAAACTTCTGCTCTTTAGCAATGATTTAAGAAAGAAAATTAACCACTAGTCATGCCATTCACCAAAGCAGTAAATGAAGATTTGGCGTTTGAAGTTGACGTTTGACGTATAAAGTTCATGCTTTAACGACTGCAAGCCCTCGTAGCAGTTCAAGCATGAAATCTATACGCCAAACGCCAACTTCAAACGCCAAATCTTAATTTACTGCTTTGGTGAATGGCATGACTAGTGGTTAATTTGCTTTCTTAAATCATTGCTAAAGAGCACAAGTTTAATAAATTTAACATATTTCAAAACTGGTGTAAAAACTATTATAATAGAGTTGTAAAATCAAAAACTTCGCTAGCGGTTTGACGTTTGCCGTAAACGTCAATCTTAAGGTCTCTAGTGTAACCGGAATGCGTTCCGGTAAAAGTGGAACGCGATCGGAACGCGAATGGAATGCGAATGGAACGCCTTCCAGACGCGTTTTCTGTTAGGTTATTTCTGAGCAGTACTGTACAAATAACAAGTGAGCTATAATTACTGGATGCCATTCGTCTGACAACATGTAAATGAGTCTTTGTCAGAAGCTGATCTATACAAGTTTCTCCTCTATAGTTTGGCCGCCATTCATTTTGGCAACATGTCTTACACCAAAATAGACTATCAGTCATGACAAATTATGCCGAAGCGAAGTCGGGCATGAATGATTACTTGACTTCATTATTTAACAAAATTACCTGACAAGCTCTACATACCGCTATGCAAATATTTTCGTGTTCATTGACTGTGGAAACAATTGTCGCAGAATTCGCTGGCTTCGTTCAACGGCTGGTTCAACACTCACTTTTCGTTTTACAAAGTTTATTTCACACAACTTGTACTATACGTTAATTACAACAATCCGGTCTTTTACTTTACGACCTCTAACCATTCTAACTAAATTAGCGTTCGTCATAACATTTTATAACTTCGGAAAACCGTACCTACATATTTTCATCATGCAATAATACAATAATGTTATTAACATACTTTGGCTTGAATTCAGCTTTATCTATAACGAACTTACAATTATCTTTGACATACATGCGTCACACAACTAATTGAAATAAGATTAAGTAGTAATTATTAGTATAATTTTGCAAGACACAGTTTCAACATATTTACAGCACACATATATTATAATAAAATTAAAGTTATAAATCCGACAACAATCAATTTCTAAAGAAATGAATAATGATAATAATTTGAAATTTGCATAGCGGGACTATATATACTGTATTGTCGGGTTCGCTACGCAACTGGTCACCTGTGCAAGACAGCTAGAGCCAAAGACGACGCTCTTTTACAAATCTAAGATTAGGCAAGAATTATATCGGAGAAAAATGTCGCAAGGTCATTTGAGGTAGGGGGTCAATCATTTTACCATGAAAAATTTTTATATGTAAAGGTTGATTGAAATATTTGATGGATTGTACTTGTATTATAAAATAATATTCTGAAGTGCAAGCGTACTTGTAGGGGGATATCGTAAAATTCTTGTAATCGCACGTAGAATTTAAGTTAGTTGATCGTTCGGTGCATTCTGGCAAAGCATGCAGAACATCTCTTGAACAAAACTTTTTAAATTCTGAACAATATTTCAGTGGAACAT